GCCGATCCGGTGATCCACAGCGCAAATTTGTTGTATTTCCTCAGCGACCAGCACGGATCAGCTCCAGGCATGACGAAGCAGATATCGTCCTCTTTTGGAAGACCAAACAAAGTAGTTTCGCTTTCACAACGAATCACACAGCGACTTCACGACATGGCGGTGGCAACTACAATACTACAGCGAGAATAAAAGTTACGCCTTCTTTCTTTGCGTGAAGATTTGGGCGGCGTTATGCAAATCTTCCCACATAGTGACGTAGACATGTGGGGGCGTGTTAGAACGAGCCGTTTTAGGTAGGCGTGGCTGACTTAACTTTTATAAAGAATATCTCTTTGGATTTGAGACTTTAGTCTTTGCAACTTTACAGATCTTCTTTATGCACCAAGAGCTTGTAACACTCCAAAGAGAAAGGAAAAATTGAAATCGCATCCTATGACCCCTTTAAGATTATGAACTGCTTTTGAAGATCAGCAAATAGTACAGTAGATGGCACCGTGAGTTCATCTGAAGATTTTCTGAGAATTCATCTGCAGTTTCAGTAAGTGTTGGAAGATTGGCCAACCTTTTGCGCTGTTACTTTTAGTCAATATATATAATATACTTATGTTGTAATTTAAACAGGTATTTCTATAAAATGACACCAGACTGTCAGAAAATGAAGAGGATGGAACCAAGGATATAACTTGAGGGTGTATATACTGTATATATAATATCATGTTGTACAAGGGTGAAATATTTCAAGCTGAGAGAGTGAGAGAGAGAAACATGCAACTAAATACGCTCCCAGAAATATTCTGTTTCAGTAACTGAATAGGCTGCAAACTAATACGATTTCTGTTTATAAATTGCGAATTAATATTGTATCCACTATATTAAGACTAATACAGAAGATGAGTAGAACTACAGAGATACACACGTGCTGAACATAAATTTACGTGGAATGGAGAAAGACTAGCTATCTGTGGTCGTCATACTGACTGGAAAGTCAGGTCTAGGACAGGACATGCTTAGATTTAAATACAAAAACACCTTCACACCCAAATCCCTCCTGTTGTAGTCTTATCCTAAATTTAAAACCAGCGGAACAAGAACATCTACCTGACATCCATGTGGACGCACACTCAGTTCTGTAAACCTGTGCTGTTTGAGCGTGTTAAATATCTGGCCAGGGTGTGGCGCAAGGTTCTATGTGCGGCTCTTGACCAATCAGATTCGCTCCTGCTCCGGTTCTCAAGGTTGTGGGTGTGGTTGCCGTGACGACGCGGCGCTCCTGGCGACATCTTTCAGGAAATGAATTTAAAGAAATGAGAAATACAGGAACTTGAACTGCAACGAGTCACGGCGGGTTGGACCGAAGAGTCGAAGAATAAACTCTCTTTAAGTTAGTTTGAATGTTGGGCACGCGGAGCGGAAGGAGATAACATGTTGATAAAGGAATTGTAAGTATTTTAGTATGATTTCACTGCGCTGAAGTTTTGATCCCGCGCTGAACTTGACTTACGGGCTCGTGTTTGGTCACTTTCACCGGCTGCTGCTTAATAAAGTGGATTTATGTTGATTTTTGACTAATGAATTATGGATGTTTTTTTCGCTGTGTTAATTAGGTTATGTCAAATAATCTAAAATGTAATCTATAGTCCTGTTTCGGATTATATTATTTATATTCCAGGCAATCCACACCAGCAGTTATAATGAGTCATCAGTTTATTTGCTTTACAAAGAGAAAGAAAAGGGTGTACCTCTTTTGAAGTTACAAAACTGCTGAAGTTACAAACTGCAGGTAACGTTAGTATGAATGTGATTGTCACATGTTACCGTTTCGCCGGTCCCGCGTCATAATGCACCGTTGTGTACGTCAGACCGCACTTTGAGACTTCTGTGCTGTAGTATACATATTAAGTGATTAAATAAAAAGTCCTATTATGACATTAATGTTCATATAACAAGCAAGCTGAATTCTACCTGAGCTAAATGAGCTGTAAAATATTACATTAGACGTCGCTATGTTTACGTTATGATGTCATTACTGCCATAATGGCTTTTTAATCATACTTGATGTTAACTGAATATGGTGATAAAGAACTTTTAATTCGACAAGATTTCCAACGTCATGGAAAACCTGAGAATTATCAGGGGATTTAAAAAAACCAGGAGGGGTTACATTGTGAGAAATAATCCTGGTTTTA